TGAGTCTATCACTGAGTGAGCATAGCAACCACTACATCTATTGTCTTCAAAGAATAAGGAATATTTTTCTGTCAGAGGGTGGAAAATGAAGAAACTTCTTATGAGGTGTGTAGTATTTAATATAAGAGCAATTAGGGAGGTGATAATAACATACATCTATGCTTCCTAGTCGACCAAAGGGCCAGTAAACGCCATGGGCATTTTGGTACTTTGTTTATAACAGCCTTGGTCCCTGAATATAGCCTCTATTTTGAAAACCCAGAGACCCTGGCAATGACTGGCTCATGATACATACAAAGCCTGAGGTAGACAACAAAGTCATTTTATCAATAGTGAAAAATGTTCTACTTAATATTCACACTGGCATTTTCCCCCTGAATGCAGACCTACACAAGCCCAATCTTCATTAGAAGGATACTTGAAGAGTATCAAAATAACATAATGGCAATATGCTAATGAAGGCTGAAGAATACATTCCCAAAAAGAGCTAATAGGACTGGAGGTCTGAACATCTGATAGCTGACAATGCTTTTTCTACCTCTCCAGTGATGATCAACACTGCACCCTGCCTCAAAGCCTGTCTCCCTTTGTACACCTCTGCTCTGATGCCCTATTAATGCTATTAACATAAATTTAGACAGCAATCATATTTCCTCAATTTCCAAGTTTGGGGAGGGGTTAAGATAGGAAACTGTACTGATATAAGGGATAGTTAATAGAGGTCAAAGTCTCTAATTGATGCCTTCTCTCCCTGAACGCTAATTTCTTTGGGGAGTCACACTAGAACAAAAGGCTTGGTGGACACAGAAGAAAGAGCAGAGTACTACCTGCAGGCTCCCTGCTGTCTGTAGGTTAGGATACCTCCCCTTTGAATGCAGCTGGAATTGGTCACTTTCCCTGAACACTATGGCCATGTAGTGCCTTTCCTTTAGTATATTCTTTTTTTTTTTTTTTTTTTGAATAGACTTGTTGATCTTTATTTAACCTTGCATATCCGCAAGTCATTTCCCACAGACAATCCCCCTGTTTACCTCCCCCGACAATTTTCTTTTGAAATTTTACCTGAACAGCCCATGGAACAATATTCTGGAGAATACAGTTTGGGAGCACCAACCTCAATAAATAAATAATACCTCCCATGTATAATTTAACATAATTTCAGTATTTTATAACAGCAGCATATCACAACCTTCTTTCCTGAGAATGCTAGTTTATCAGGACTGGTATGAAAAGCCCTGGCTGGGCAGCTCAGTTGGTTAGAGCATCGTCCCAATAAGCCAAGGTTGCAGGTTTGATCCCCAGTCAGGGCACATACAAGAATCAACTGACAAATGCATAAATAAGTGGAACAACAAACTGATGTGGTATGAAACATTTTCTGAATAGTATGGGGCTAAGAAATAGAGGGTGACATTGGGAATTTGGAACCCTCTCTGTATGTCTTATGATATATGCAGCCCACAGTTGGGTGTCTCTTTTTTTTTTTTTCCCCCCACATCTTTATTGTTGGATGTAAAATGTATTACAGATGTTCCACAGTTTTTCCACCATTGACCCCCTCCTCCCCACTCCCGCCCCCCTCCCACCTTTTCCCATACTATTGTCCGTGTCCATTGGTTATGCATATAAGTTCTTTGGTTTATTTCTTCCCACCCCCCCAACCCCTTTCCCTTTGAGGTTTGTCAGTCTAGCAATGAATTTGTGCTTCTTAATCCCTTCACCTTTTTCATCCATTCCACCAACCCCTTTCCCAACTGGCAACCAACAAAATATTCTCTGTATCTATGAGAATGTTCCTGTTCTTCCTGTTCATTTTGTTTGTAGATTCCATTGTTGATAGATATGTATTCATTGCCATTTTGTTTGTTCCTACATTTTATCTTTTTCTTTAAAAAGACCCTTCATCATTTCATATAATAACGGTTTGGTAGTGATGAACTCCTTTAACTTTTTCTTGTCTGGGAAAGTTTTTATATGTCCATCGATTCTAAATGACAGCTTTGCAGGATAGAGTAATTTTGGTTGTAGGTTCTTGGTTTTCATCACTCTGAATATTTCTTGCCACTCCCTTCTGGCCTGCAAAGTTTCTTTTGAGAAATCAGCTGACAGCCTAATGGGAACTCCCTTGTAGGTAACTAGCTGCCTTTCTCTTGCTGCTTTTAGGATTCTCTCTTTGTCTTGAACCTTTTGCATTTTGATGATGATGTGTCTTGGTGTGGGCCTCTTGGGGTTCATCTTGTTTGGGACTCTCTGTGCTTCCTGGACTTGTATGTCTGTTTCCTTCACCAAGTTAGGAAAGTTTTCTGCCATTATTGTTTCAAACAGGTTTTCGATTTCTTGTTCTCTCTCTTCTCCTTCCGGCACCCCCAAGATGCGAATGTTGGCACGCTTGAAGTTGTCCCAGAGGCTCCTTACTCTATCCTCATTTTTTTGGATTCTTTTTTCTTTTTGCTGTTCTGGTTGGGCGTTTTTTGCTTCCTTATATTCCAAATCGATGGTTTGCTCCTTGGATTTACGTACTCTATTATTGAAGCTATGTAAATTATTCTTTATTTCAGTTAAAGCCTCCTTCGTTTCTAACTGTGCAGCGATTGTTTCTGACTGGTACTTTTTTATGCTCTTGAGGCCCTCACTGAGTTCATTGAGCATCCTTATAAGCAGTATTTTGAACTCAGCATCTGTTAGGTTGCTTATCTCCATTTCGCTTAGTTGTTTTCTTGGGGTTTTGTTCTGTTCTTTCATTTGGGACCTGTTTCTTTGTATCCTCATTTTGCTGCCTCCCTGTGTTTGTTTCTGTGTATTACTTAATGAGAGGTATGGGGCTCGCTGAGACCCGATGCTGCTCGTTTGAAAGAATTTAGGAAAAACCTGAAGCAGGATCCAAGACAGGCCAATCCTATGGTTAAGCAAGTGGCAACAGCTTGGGTGGGCCTGAAAGTTGGGTGGGGCGGGGCCTCAGGGAGTCACCAGGGCGGGGCTACCAGTGTGAGCCAGGTTGCTGGAGTCCCAGATATGGCGACTGTCTGCCGCCCCAGGGAAGGGCTCACCAAAGGAACAAAGGCCTCTGACAGCACGTTTGTCCCCGAGAAAGCCCCCTCTCCAGCCCTCGCTCCAGTGCCAAACAGCTCAGTTCCTCCCTGTATTTCTCTGGTGCCCCTGGAGCTGCCTCCCCTCCGAGCTTAGAGGGAGAGAGTCCGACCAGTCTGTGCGCGGGCCCTTTAGGGAGCTGCCTGTGGCTCCAGCCAGGTCAGCTTCCCTGAGCCTCAGTTTCTGCTGGTTTTTCCAGCCAGAAGTTATGGGGATTCTCTTCCTGGCACTGGAAACCTGAGCGGGGCACCTGGTGTGGGACGGGGACCCCTCAGTCCTCAGGAAGGACCTTCCCAGCCGCGGGAGCCTCCTGATTTTTATCCGCCACACTTGGGTGTGGGACCAGCCCGTCACGCCGCCGCCGTTGCCGCTGCCGCCACCCCTCGCGCCGCCACCCCTCCTACCAGTCTGGATGTAGCTGCCTTTTTTTTAAATTCCGTAGTTGTAGGACTTCCATTCAGCTTGATTTCAGGCGGTTTGGGATGATGGTTGTTCTGTAGTTTTGTTGTAACTTGGATGTGGTTGTGGGAGAACGCGATACTGCGTTTCCCTACGTCGCCATCTTGACCGGAAGTCTCCTTTAGTATATTCTATTTTAGGCCCCAAGAATTCAATTTGAGCATTCTTGGTCATACCTTAATCCAACCATTTTCCTAGAGCAGTCATTACAATCTCATGTTGTGTTCTTTCAACAAATGATGATTTGATCTTCATTTCTACTTTCATCCTCAGAAGGACAAACTAAATGACCTGATAGTGAAAAGCCATATCCGTCAGTTTCCTAATAGTTACAAGTCTTGAATAGAAAATCAGCAAATATTTAGACTGCGGATGTGTGAGCGTGGGAAAGTCCTACAAGCTTTTGCCTTGGTGCTGATGGTCCTAACAGTTTTTCTTGAGTCACCACCCAGACACTTCATTGCAGCAAGGAGACATGGGGGAATGGAGGGAGGTGCAGAGAAGGCACTGAGGCCAACAAAGCTCAAAGGAAAGGGTAACTTCTGGAACTCCACATCCTCACAGGTGTGACTCTGCGCCTCTTCTGCACACACAACAGCTCATTCAGACCCCAGTCCTGTTCAGGATCTCTTCTGCTCCTTTCTGCCCATGCCCTGGACCTTCCTTTTCTCTTTTCTTTCCATTACCAACAGTTATTCCATCCTTTGGAGGATTCTTCTTTTCTCCAAATTATCCATGGAGTAAAAAAGAGCAGAAGGAGGCTAAAAAGCTTTTATTATTTGCTTAGAATTAATTAAGACCATTAAATGACAATAGTGATAGGAAATAATAAAGAATCGTCTCATGTTCTACTGAACTTTCACAATACTCTGGTACTTCCTCCAGAACTAAACTAAACCTGGATATGTAATAGAGTCCACCATTTCTACCTCCTCAGCACCAATATAAAAACCTTAGCTATCTAACAGCAGCCACCATAATCAGAAGTACTATTATTTATTTCCCCAAATGATTTATGACAACCTCCACCAAGGCAAAAATACTTAATTTTTGTAAACTGGTAACAGTTTGGAGATTGACCGGCTGCAGAAGAAACAGAAATTGGGTAACCCATGCTTGCTAAAAGATTTGCTACTCCAACACCAAGAATAATAACATATATATATATATAAACAAACTGAGAATCATACATTTTAAACAATTACTCAGGATTATTATAGAAAGTAATGTCTTTTAAGCATGCCTTAAAGAAATGATTTTTAGCCCAGCCGGTGTGGCCCAGTGGTTGAGTGTCGACTCATGCACCAAGAGGTCACCAGTTTGATTTTCCCTGTCAGGGCACATGCCCAGATTGTGGGCCAAATCCCCAGTCAGGGAACATGCAGGAGGTGGCCAATTGATGTTTTCTCTCTCTCTCCCCCTTTCTCTCTCTAAAATCAATAATAATAAAAAAAATTTAGGAAAAACAAGAAATGATTTTTAAAATACGCAACAATTGCTCTGCTTTGTTCTTTTAAGTTTTTTACTACATCTAAAAATTGGCAAGTTTTCTAAACAGTGATGTGAAGTAAGGACAACAGTTCACCTAGCTGTCAGTTTTGGAAGAGTAGTCAAGCAAGAAGCCAGGGCTGATGATTGCAACGGTTTTGAAGGGCAAATATAAATTCTGAATGGTGATGAGATACTGGATCCTACTATGAAAAGTACAACATTGTAATTAAGGAATAGATTCTCCTGCTTCTTTCTGGGCAGAAGGGAGTAACGGATCTATTGCACTAGTACCAGTAACCTAGACCTAACATGGGAAAATTAATCTAAAGTTTATCACCTTTTTTTTTCACAGTCACATCCTCTGATGGCAGTTCCATATCTAAATCTGACAATAATGTGCAACGGGTGTACATAGGAGAAGTTTTCATTATATCTTGAGAAAAAACAACTATGGCATTTTGTTCAATGAAGACAGGTAAATCTAATTAGATTCTTTTTACCTAGAAACATTAATTGGTAGAAATTTCTTCAGAGAAAACCCACAAAATCTAAACCAATTCTATGCTAGCAACCAAAATGTTCTATCCAGTTCCAGAAATGTACCATTATAGCAAACAAAGTAGTTACTATTTATAATATATAATAACTGACTAAAATTCTAGGTAAATAACCATTATGACCATCTAAAATTTAGTTTTAAATTTGTAACTTTAGCAGTACCTACTGAACACTTCTTACATTCAATTGTACAGAAATGCAGTCCATTTAATCTTGAAAAACACTATATAAAACTATAGAAATGAGAAAACATACCTGCAAACCATTACACTCCCTCATCAACTCTACAACTGTAATAAATTTAATACTGTAAACAGACTGAACAAATCAGAGCACTGTGGAAAGAGTTCGGCAGCTTTAACAAGTCATATTATCATTTTTATGAGCTAAGAGAGTAGAGGCAAATGGAATTCTTAGAACATTAAAAATAGACTTTTAAAGACAAAGGTCCCAACTTATTCTTATGTACACACACAAAAGATCATCTGTCACAGACAGCAAATATCAAATGTATAAACCGGAGTTTCCGGCAGCATCCTGTACATTTAGAATAATGAAAATAAACAAACAGAAAGTTGTCAAATCTATCTAAGGTGGATGATTCAAATCTGTGTGAGATGGAATATAGCTGTTCTGGTGCTCACTGCTGCTTCTCAAATGCAAAAACCAAGTAAATACCTAAAAAGAAAATAAGTGAAAGTTAGAGTTTGGTTTCTCATATTGTCAGGGAAAACAAAACAATCTCAATCCTATTTCTAATTTGGTGAAAATTGTTAGGACTTCAAAGCAGCTTTTGATGAGGAAAAACATCTCATTATTTCTATGAGTTTCTCAAGTATTTTGAGTAATTTAAAAAGCAGATATGGCTCTGGCCAGTTTGGCTCAGCGGTTAGAGCATCGGCCTGCGGTCCGGAGAGACCCGGGTTCGGTTCCCGCTAAGGGCATGTACCTCGGTTGTAGTTTGTTCCCGGCCCTGGTTGGTCGGGCGGGTGGCAGCCACTCGATGTGTCCCTTTCATATCGATGTTTCTCTCTCTCTCTCTTCCTCTCTCTCCCTCCCACTCTATCTGTACAAAAAATGGAAAAATGTCCTCAGGTGAGGATGAAAAACAAAAAACAAAACAAACAAACAAACAAACAAAAAGTATAAAAGCAGAGAAGTTAAAACTAAAAAAATCTTATGACATTTTTTTTTTACCCAGAGCAAGACAGATAGATAGAATAAGTTTTCTATTCAGAAAAAAAACTAAGGAGAAAAATTATAAGGAATATTTATAACATGCATGTTAAAATTCCAATGACCAAATTGCTGTGTTGTAGGGATGCTTTGAAATATTAATCTGTGCCCAACAGTGATATTCCTCTATGAATCCAGATTCCTCTATGAATCCAGCCCCAAGGGCATTATCTCCCTTAAATAAAATTTCCTGCTTTGATGTGTATTCAAAGACATCTAAAAGCATCTAAGGTTCTCCATTCTGAATCACACTGAAGTTCAAACCTACAATATATTCTAATATGATACCAACAGATTTTATGGTAAGAAGATACCTGAAAAGATGACAAATCCTCAAAAGATCACAAGAATGTTCAGGGTGTGTGCTAGGCCATTCATTCAACTAGCGATAACAGACCACATACATAACTTGGGAGTCCTTGCTCCGAGTCAACTTAAACAGGGAACATATGAAGGATGGCAGACCACATAACAACCTCCCATTCCTTCAGCTTTTGCCCTTCCAACCTAACCTGTACAGGAATAGCATAATACCAGTCTTTCCAAAACACTAATTTGCCCATGCTATTCTCTGCTCCCTATCTGCTAGTACCAATTTTTTTTTTTTTTTTGGCGCAATGAAACAGTATAGTAGATAGGTAGATAGAAAATAGGCAGGATAATCATTAACACTGAAGATTCTCCTCTAGAGGATAAGGAAGCAAAACAGTCTATTCACAAGAGCTTCGGTACAGACCAGCATTACTTAACTTTGCCCTGTGCTCTAAGGTTATGTACAACCCTGCCCAACCCACCCCAAACACCTGTACCTACTGCAAACAACCCACAGTCCTGTCCTTTCCTCATTGAGGGTCATTTAAAACCACTAAGATGCAGTGTTTGATTTCAGAAAAGCAACTGTAACTTTCATTTCTAATTCAAACATTCTGAACGTCTCATTCATATTAAAATGCCTTTTGTGCCCTGGCTGGTTTGGCTCAGCGGTTAAGAGCATTGGCCTGCAGTCCAGAGAGACCCAGGTTCGGTTCCTACTAAGGGCATGTACCTTGGTTGCAGTTTGTCCCCGGCCCTGATTGGGTCGTGCGGGGAGGCAGCCACTCGATGTGTCCCTTTCACGTCAATGTTTCTCTCGCTCTCTTCCTCTCTCTCCCTCCCACTCTATCTGAACAAAAAATGGAAAAATGTCCTCCGGTGAAGATTTAAAAAAAAGCCTTTTGCTCCGGCATTTCAACTAGGATTTAAAGAAACAAATCTTGAACCACTTCTAAAAGTAACTCAGCAACAATTCTCTACTTTCTTTTCATATTTAAAGCATTTTCTAGGAGCAGCAGGCTGGGGTAATAAGAGTTTAATGATTAGACCAGTAGGAGTTCAAAATATAACTTCTTACATTTATTAGACTGTGACATTAGGCAAGATACTTTACAGCCCACAAAGGCCTCTAGTTTAGAATAGTGTACCTATCAAAGAGCTGAGTGACCTAGAGAGTTAGATCCTAGCTGCAATTTAGCCACTGCTCCTTTTGTGTTTCTTTTCACATCTCTAACCCATCTCCTCCTCAACTGTCTGGGGCTATCTAATTCATTTGTATGTTATTGCTAAAGTCTACAATTAATATTAAAATATAGCTATAAGCTACAGCCCTCACACCATCAAGTCTTTCGACCAAAGCTGTTTGCTTTCACAGTGTACTCTGGGACTGATGGCATATCTAAGATAGATGAGCTATCTCCAGTTTGGGAAAAGTAATGACATGTGTAGGTTTATGCACACGTCTCACGTGTCAAAGATTATGTCTCTAACACAGCTTCCAATCTCATTTCTACTAAGGGTACCAATATTCTGAGACAAGCTCAGAATGTTAGCCATATTTGTCTTCTTTCCTTTTTCTCTTTATCAAATTCAGCAAGTCCTAAGAAAGTTTCCTTTCACGTGGGCTGTCATGAGGCCAAGGTTATGAGTATGGAACACTTGGATTAGCTCTGCGACTTTGGCCAAGTTATTTAATTGCTTTCTCATCTGTGAAAAGTAGATAAAATAAATAGTAGTCTACTTGTAAAGTTGTGAGGATTAAGTGAGTTACAACATATGGAAAGCTTAAAATAGTGCCTAGGCACATGTTAAATACTCGATAATATCAAATATTATTTCTCAGGCTTCACGAGTTTTCATTAACCTCTCCTTCACCCATTTTTTCCCATTACAGTAACTTTAGCACTTAAAATTTTTTTGCCCAGCTAGTGCATTTATTTGTGTCTGTTTCTTTCATTAAATAGTATACTTCTGGAAGGCAAGATTATAACTTGTTTCTTTTTTAATCCCCTATATCCCTTTCATGGAACTTTATGTAAGTCAATACTCAATGTTTTGAGTACTACTTGTACCTTCAACATAATCATTAAGTATTTAAACGAACAGTGGGAACTACCTTTAAAGTCCTCAGGGCAACCCATAAGGGTATTACCATTATCTTAATAGTGAGGCTCTGGGAGCTGACTTCCTCAACATCCATTTGCTGAAGAACTACAGATTTGCCAGGCCTCTGACTTTTCTTCCAAGGACAGGTACCTCACTTTAGAATGTCTCCACCTCAGGCCTGTTCCTACCCCTCTAAAATATCCACTCATGTTCCTTCACTAAATGTTCCAGCATTTATTATACCTTCACTGTCAACATCAGAGTGGCCAAAATCAAACAAAGTACATGGTAGTGTTGTATAAGCCAAAATTCCCCAATGGAAATCTGAGGTAAAGACATCAAATACAGATGGCTATGTAGTTAATGAGTAGGCAATGAAAATGTTTAAGAATGTTCATGAAAGTTTATATTAAGCAACATTATGCATATATTTTCTCTTGGCACTAAACAGCTGTGCAAAAAGGGGGAATTGGACACAAATAGGAATTTTGTATAAACATAAGTGCATACACAGCCTAATAAGCGTCAGAAAACCTCTCAAGTTTACAGATTTTAATGATCACTTTGAAACAATCTGAAAATGTCAGTAAATCTACACTGATGATATACTCACTTGTAGCTTCCCATTCTGATTTACTTAAGGTTCCCTAAAATTACAAAACAGAAAAAAAGAAAGAGAAAAATTTCAGATTGAATATGGAAGTACAGTTGACCTCTGAACAACACAAGTTTGAAATGCATGTTTCTAGCTTACTTTATAAAATACATTTAACATACAAAATATGTGCTAATTAACTATTTATGTTATCACTAAGGCTTCGGTCAAAAGTAGGCTATTAATAGTTAAATTTGGGGGGAATCAAAAGTTATACATGGATTTTCAACTGTGCAAGGGGTCAGTGCCGCTGACTCCTATGTTGTTCAAGGGTAAACTGTGTGTGTGTGTGTGTGTATAACATATATGCACTTATTTTTCAATGGGCATAGGTCTCTAAATAACCCTATCTTTGCAATATATATACAAATTACTGTAAATATTATTGTGATCTGAACCTATAAAATAAATCAATGAGATTAACCTTTAACACCATCTTCTCAACACCTGCCCTTCTGCCAAATTCTCTAAACAACTGATTCTCTTATGAATTTGCATAAAGAGGGTATTCGTGTATGTGTGTGTGTGTGTGTAACTAGAACACACATCTATCTTGTGTATTTAACTTGGAAAATAAAAAAATAAAAATGCCTATCTCAAAACATCAAATAGCCCTGCAGAAGGAAATACTATTTTTGTGTTTTTACAAAGGAACCACCAAATAAATTACATATCATGCAAAAGAACTAAGTTATATTTAAAATAGTTTTCAAAATACTAAAAAATATTTTGACATAGTAATGCAATGACTAACAAGATATAGTGGCAATTCTAGTAACTAATGTAATTTTGAAGAAATGATGAATGTAAACAATATTCTAAGATGTCAACTGAAATGTGTTATGCAAATATCTATAATTTACAAAGTCATAGCTACACAGACAATACCACTACGGTATTATTACGTTCATAAGAGAAAATAAAATGTAAACTTCCTTATAGAAGTCAGTGAAAATGAAAATTTAATTTTTTACCATCTAAATTCATGAGCCCCTGAATTTTATCTACGGTACAACATGGGATAGTAGTACCTAGGTTAAGATATAATGATATAGTAAGGAAACTCAAACCACGCCTATTGACTTTTCCCCCACTTTTACTACTTCACATTTAGCACTGCATTCTCAGTTCAATGAAGTACATTTTATTCTACATTCTGTAGTTATAAAAAGTCATCATGACTTAGGGGAAACAGATTAACGTGTATCTGATTTGTAACTCAGTAAACCCAAGTTCTGTAAACCAATGGAATAATTTCCAAAGTTTCCATATATGCTTTTTTCATTTTTTTATAAAATATGTTAAAAGATGAAAACTTACCAAAGGCAATCTTACTTGACTGTTCTTCATGTACTGTGCTGCATGTTCATAGTCATCCACCTTTTCAGAAGCAAGTTTGGAATTCTCGTTTGCAGGATATGGCTAGGGAAGCAAGTGAATTTCCTTAAGATATCACAATGAAATTTACAATTCAGAATTAAATATATTAAATGACTGAAATAAAATAATTCCCCAAGTATTACTTCAGGAAGACAAACTACATATACTTGTGAAATATGAAAAACAAATATGGGTGGTGGCAGGCATCTTTTAACAAAGCAGCTGTTATGGTGAACTTTGATCATAATCAGAATATTTAAAGTTGAACTAAATTGTATCATTTAATCACCATCAAGGACCATTTGGCAGCAAACACTTGCATCTCCCTGATTCCTAGTCAAAGGCTTTTTCTGTTACAACACAAAGCTGAAGGAAGATAGTAAAATGAGCTAAATATTAGTTTGAGCCTTGTAGATTTAATAGCCACGGAAGGCATGAACAGCAATTAGAAACAATACAAAACAAACAAACAAACAAAAAACCTCAAGTCTACAGAGAACCCTGTGAGTTTAACAAGACAAGGAAAATAATCCAGCCTCCAAAATACAGGTAATCTCCAGATTCCCATAAGAATCTAAGAAGGGTCACCAAAAAAAAGTGTTTTTAAGGGTATGCTGGTCAAATGTTTATTCAAATTACCTCAAGAACTATTTATAGTCCATTTTAACTAATTTCTCTTTATACTGTGAAGAATAGTACTTTGTAAATACATGTAAATCAAAACATCAAACACATAGAATATTTAACATAACCACCATCTACTTTATAAAAGTTACATATTCTTTATGTCTGTCTTCTTACAACAAACCAGCTAGCAAGGAACAACTTTATTTTTTTTTTTATTTTTTATTTTTTTTTTAATCCTCACCCGAGGACATTTTTCCATTTTTTGTACAGATAGAATGGGAGGGAGAGAGAGGAAGGGAGAGAGAGTGAGAAACATCGACGTGAAGGGACACATCGAGTGGCCGCCACCCGCACGACCAACCAGGGCCGGGGACAAACTGCAACCGAAGTACGTGCCCTTAGCGGGAACCAAACCCGGGTCTCTCCGGACCGCAGGCCGACGCTCTAACCGCTGAGCCAAACTGGCCAGGGCAAGGAACAACTTTAGACCCAGATCTCCCTGATGAAATTTTAAGGAAATGATCTGGGAAGGTCTACTTTGCTATCTTCTTTTTCCTTTTTCTTTATAAATATCTTACAGTGAGCAGAGACATTAGAAATGTAGCTATTTATTTACTGTCTAAAAAGTATTTGGCTTTTTGGACTTCCATACTGTTAGCACTTAGCCACTATACTCTTGATCGCATCTTAACACAAGATATAAGAAATATCGCTTGTCATCACTAAATTCTTTTTAATCTTCAATCCCATATTTGTAGTTTCACTGCATCACAAAGTGTAACTTTAATTTGAATGTCTGCTGAACTATTCTGTTGTAAATTTTTTCCCTCAATTTATGAGTGTAATAAGATTCCTCCATGTGATTATTTGCCTGTAAACAAACATCTAGTTTCACTTCCCTATTGATCATTTTAAAAGACCAAACAACATGATTATAAAGCTGAAAAACTGTTTTTTTCTAAACTTGCTAAAATGTACATGTGACCCAAACAAGCCATTTATCATCTCTGAGCCTTGGACTCCCCATTTAAATATAGAAAAAGCGGCTGCTTTGCCTACTTCATGAGGTAATTATAAGGATAAAAATGAGTATGCTTAAAATACTTTTAAAATATTCTAAATTAAATAAACTCTCTAAAAAATTTTATTTAATATGACCACTGATTAGTAACAAAATGCTCCCTATTTCAGATCTATCCAATTAAATATTGTTCAAATACATAAGGAAATCTAATTAATCAATGTCTGTACCCTGTGTTTAAAGCTTGTAGACTACTTTCACTACTGCTTTAGGGGAAGCAGAGAAGAGTCCAGGAGCTAAAGAATGTCTCAGGACCAATATTGTCTCAAGACTGGAATCTTGCTAGACAGTCACAAAGAACAAAATTATACATGGTATGAGCTTGTCTTGGACCCTGGCCAGAAAGGTTTTAAATTTCTGAGTAACAAAAAGGCATTGTACAGAAGTGGTTCTCAACTGAAAGTGATTTTGAATCCCAGGGGATATTTGGCAATGTCTAGTGACATTTTTGGCTGTCACAACTGGGGGCAGGGGTATTACTGGCATCTAGTGTGGAGAGGCCAGGGATGCTTTTGAATATCCTACAGTGCACAGAACAGCCCCTATAGCAAAGAATTATCCAGTCCAAAGGTTGAGAAATCTTATTTTAAAGAATTACTATCTAGAAAATAAAAATTGATGATAGCATCACTCACTCATTCATTCAAGTATTACTGGGCACCTAACATGGAAAGTCTCTGTACCAAACTCTGTCCTAGGTGCTGAAGAAACTAGGGTAGTTATAAACAATCTGTGTAATTTATATCAGTATTAAGTGTCCCACAGCCAAACAAGTTTACCATAACTTGGAATGTTTACACCATTTCAAAATTCTTACCTCCAGAGCCTGCATTCGTTTTAACAGCATTTTATTTTCATTGTTCTTAATCTTTTCCTCATAGAATTCCAGAAATGTTTTTTTGTAGACTAGTTTCATATTGTACTTCTTCACCATTCTGTCCAAAAGAAGATTACGTAATGAAAGGACTTCTAAAATGTGTGTAATTTCTTAATAGCTTACTTTCACACAACAGTGACATCTTCTGGACTTAACTAAAAAAGCTACCAAATCTCCTTTATATATTCACAATAAAATGATGTAAAGTGAATGATGAGCAACATACCACTAACCATGCCTATAAGAAAATATGCCTTCCATATCTCAATGGGTTGTAGGGGCCTCTCTCTATTAATGTACAAAGGGGTCAGAAAACAAAATGAAAGACTGTGAGATGAAAATAGAGCTATAAGGAACACTTTTCTATAGAATCCATTTTATTTAACTTGACCCCTCACACCAGTGTTTAAAACAGCTGCCAACTTCCTTCTTAAAATATTCTCCTTGGGTTCTGTGGCAAGATACACTATTAATTTTTATCCTACATCTTGGGCTGCTTATTCAGTTTGTTTCACAGGGTTTTTTTTTTACCCAACTTCTAATCTTTAAGGTTCTGAAGTTTGGCCCAGAGCCTTTACTCATTTTCACTCCCCTGATTTTACCCAGCATGCAAATAGCTATCTGTACTCAGCTTTCTCTTGTCCCACTCATTTATTTTATCGCTTACTAGTAATCTCCACCAAGATATGGCAAAGGCATTCTCTAACTTCCCACATCTAAGGCTGAACCTTACTAGACTGTTTCTCTGCCAATCTTTGCTATTTTAGTAAATCCTGTTAATGATTCATGCCAGAAATCCTGGAAGTCCTCATGCTATTGCCCCCTCTCTATTGCCCTCTGTATTCAACATGGCACTACACCCTCTTCATTCAACTATAAAATGTACTTCAATGGCTTTCCTTCAGCATATTGAACTAGCCAAGCTCTTTCCCATTTCAGGTCCTTCATACATATTGTCCCTTGTGTCTAGGAGATTCTTCATTCCAGTGTTTAACTGGCTAACTCGTATACATCTTTTAGATCTTGACTTAAGTATCACTTTCTTCACATATAGCTTCCTTAAATCCTCAATTACATTAGGTCTCCCGGTTACACTTTTTGTATGTTTTTTATCCCCCCTGCTGCATTTGCCAAAGTTTTAACTATGTATCTATAGACACCATGAGGGAGCAAATAAAGGAGAAAAGGAAAAAAGGGAAAAAGAAACCCCTGAAAAACGCTGAGGGCTTGTGAGATGATAGTTGAGGGGGCAGGATTCCCTGTAATTTAAATTAGCCTTCCTTGGAAACACAACATGAGTAAAGATAAAAATCTCTTCTCCAGGCAGTTCCTTCTCTATCATAAATCTCCAAAATAAGCCTTTGGAAATAAAACCAAGTTTTATACTTAAGAAATATTATAATTACAAAGAACTAAAACTAAATTTGACCAATTTAAATAGGTCTGCCATATGAAAGCTAATTATGTTTTTGTTCAGTTTCTTAATGAAATGGCAAAGGGCATCTCAAAAATCCCTATGCGTTGTTGGAATCTGTCTCACAAAATACCTATTTCAATAAATAATTTTTAAAAATTTAGATATTAAAGTGTTGACCTGTGTTTATACATCATTAGGCAAATTTTTTTTTATTTTTATTTTTTTATCCTCACCCGAGGACATTTTTCCATTTTTTGTACAGACAGAGTGGGAGGGAGCGAGAGGAAGAGAGAGAGAGGGAAACATCGATGTGAAAGGGACACATAGAGTGGCTGCCACCCACACGACCAACCAGGGCCGGGGACAAACTGCAACCAAGGTACATGCCCTTAGCGGGAACCGAACCCGGGTCTCTCTGGACCGCAGGCGGACGCTCTAACCGCTGAGCCAAACCGGCCAGGGCTCATTAGGCAAATTAAGTAGAAAAAATTGCTAGTGCTTAGCACTAAATAAAAGTCAATCGCCAATTTTGTTAATTAAAAACATCAATCTAACAAAAAACATTAAACAACACACTAAGTATTTAATTTCTTATATTATAAAGTTGAGAAGCAGTAACATTTTCCAAAAGTTTACTCATTTTAAGAACAAAAATGTCATTTAAAATTTTAAATTTTACAATTTATGTTTATAACTTGTACACAGTATTTTTATCACGTTCAGTCACACTCTACTTAATATATAAAATGTTAACGTTTTCTAAGTTATTTATATGTATTGTAGAACTCCTGAAAATCCTATATCCGTAATTTTACCAGCTGAGACACAACTGAAATAATCACCAACTAAAAGTAAGCAGACAGTAAAGCTCTTTTTCTCCCTCAGTTAAAAAAATACTTCTGTTTTTAAAAAATATGAAATAAAATTTGGTCACCTGTGATATGGCCTACATTTAAGTTGACTCTTCCACTCTCCCTATTAAGGAAAACCCCAAGACCAAGGTATCTCATAAGGCCTCGAAGCCTTACCTGATGAAGTCTGGTACTCCAACTTTCCCCATGTCTATAGAGTCCCCAGGACTCCTAGGAATTCAGATGCATGAGTGAATGTATTCCTGAATTAGGATTTTATTATCAACATTGCCTATGAGACATAGACAATTTCAGAGCTACAGTGAAATGTAAAATAACTTTTAATACACATCCCTGTCAAAAGAAGAATTCATTTGATATTCCCAAGTTATTAAAAGTGGTTGATTTTTTTTTTTTTTTTTTTTAATATTTGGCTATTTGTAATGTCAGGTATCTTTTGACACAAGTTAAAGGTAATAGAATCCCTTTCTTACTTACAAGATAAAATAATTCCAGTAATAAAAGAAAACCAAGTAAGGCTATCAAGAGAGCTATAGCATCAACACTGGATTTGAAGTCTTTTATTTTTTAACAAGGCCATTATTTTTACTTTGGGACCCCTATAAATTAAGAAATGACTAGAAATACAGGTTTCCCTCCTCCTTTTCTTCCTCTCTGAAGGCAAAAAAGAGAATGAATAGTAACAAATTAACAACATTCTTACTCATTTAGTAATGGAAAATAGACCAAGAATTCAGGGACATCCACAACACCTTCCAAATTGAAGTCATACTTGCAGCCAAATAAAGGATAATCTCCTTTCTTCTGAAATTTCACAGTATATATTTCATTTCCAAATGATTCTGATTCTGAAGCTTCAAGGCGTCTTCTATAAGAGTTTTCCCCAAACCAAAATACAAAAATTAAAATTGCTATCATCTCAGATTTTGATCAGATTATGCATATGAAAAAACTACATAATGTAATTTTAAAAGACAAATGATTAGCTTTTTAATAGAATCTGAGCTACTTTTAAGAAGCAATATACTGAAAGATAATTAACAATCACAGTAATAATAAAATTAGGCTGGAGGGTAGAATTCACTATCATGATGGTTAATTCTCTGTGCCTTGGAATCTGATCTGCAGCTTGTCCATTTGGCTCCATATAACATCACCCTCCAACTTATACATTAAGATGTTTTTGTTTTGTTTTGTTTTGCTTTTGTTTTTGTTTTAATCCTCACCAGAGGACATTTTTTTCATTTTTTGTTCAGATAGAGTGTGAGGGAGAGACAGGAAGTGAGAAACATCGACATGAAAGGGATATATCGAGTGGCTGCCTCCCGCACCATCCCAACCGGGGCTGGGGACAAACTGCAACCGAGGTACGTGCCCTAGTGGGAACTGAACCTGACTCTCTCTGGACCGCAGGCAGATGCTCTAACCAATGAGCCAAACTGGCCAGGGCTATATTAAGATGTTTCAAAGGTTCATCTGTATGTAAATCTGTCATTTGAACTTAAATTCTGAATATCTACTCAAATACATTATCAAAATGTTTAGCCCTTCTAAGATCAACATGGCATATTTTATAAAAGCTCTCTGATAAACACCGATACTTTAAAAAAGCTTAATACTGAGTTTACTGTAAAGCACAATATATCTGAAAGTACTTACATCAGTTCAAAGCTATTGGGAGTGGTACCAATAAAATAGCCTCCAGGACTAAGTCTCTCACAAGCATTTCTGAGCATCATGTCAGCCTGCTCATAGGACTCAAATGAGTAATGACAGGCAAACTGACAACTGCAGATGTCAAAGCGCATTTCTGGGTCACAAAATTTGTCAATCAAAAGTTCCTAAAGCAAATTAGAGTGGGTAAATATGTTAAAGTACAAAATAAAAAATTTTTAGTAAATTTATTTCTAGAATTAGGGTCCTTAACATAAAAGTAAACATGCCCTCCAACTGACCTACCCTTTCTCTCATGTATAACAAGGGTCATAATGAAATCATTTTTCCATTTTTATTCAATATTTGGTTCCCATTTTCATAGGAATTTTAAAAAACTATAGATTCTGAAATCATGTTAGAATGTATCAATCAAATATGACATTTAAAGGATTTGATCCTTTTATTTGACTTTACTTGAAAGCTCAAGTAAAATGACATTGAACAATAACTTGAGTTAAAAAAAAATCCCACAAAGCAGGCCTTAGGGTTAAAAAATACACTAGTGTTTTTAACATTCTAGCAGTATATTACCACTTTCCCTCTCACTTTCAAAATTGCTGACAACATGTGTAGGATGATTAAAGATACCTCTAATAGCTTCATGAGCTAACTCAGACAAAAAACATAACATTCAAGGTAAGACTTTCACCATCAAAGTGTCTCTTTAGTTCTTAAATTTTATAATTATTAAACAATTCAGAAACAGATAGAAGGTGAAAAAAAATCAGACTATATAATATGTTGAGTATCTAGCCTCATAAATTACAAGGTGAACAAAAATAAATGCAGTTCTATTTTAAAACCTGGGAAATAAAGTTTGTCCAAATGGAAAAGTAACAAGTGATTTCAAAAGTTCAAATTATTAAAAGCAAAAAACTCTCAGAGGTACTCAGAGGATTATTAAAAAAAATTGATCCTGAGAGAATTTTAGTTGAAATGAAATGCATTATAAGATTTTTAATAATTCAAACCACAATTTTTTTTAAAAAAGCTAATTTTTTAAACAAATCATTTACCCAAACTAAATATATAAAATATAAATTGACAAATTAAAAAAAAACCTTATACCTTTGAACAATCAGCAGTTATAAATTCTGCACTGAAAATGTATTCATTATCACGACGATTTTTCATGTCCTCATACCGCTGCTGACACTGTTTGACAGAAACATCAGCAATATCTGGAAGGGGAAGGGTGTTAGTGACTGTCAAGAAAGACCCACAAAGATAACAAAATGTAAAGCAAAGATGGCACAAATCGATACATTGACTTCAACGGAAAAACTTTCAAATGAAATCTAGCCTTACTGTAAGCAAAAAGGTTCTACTTCCTTCAAACAAAAGCAAAGTCTTTGTTCCAATGTAAATGTCCTATTATTTTTTTTAAAGACATTAAAAGCTTTTGCCCTGGCCGGTTTGGCACAGCGGTTAGAGCGTCGGCCTGCGGTCCAGAGAGACCCGGGTTCGGTTCCCGGTAAGGGCACGTACCTCGGTTGCGGTTTGTCCCCGGCCCTGGTTGGGTCGTGCGGGTGGCAGCCACTCGATGTGTCTCTTTCACGTCGATGTTTCTCTCTCTCTCTCTCTCCCTCCTGCTCTATCTGAACAAAGAATGGAAAAGTGTCCTCGGGTGAGGATAAAAAAAATAAAAAAAATAAAAATAAAAATAAAAAAAAATAAAAAAAATAAATAAATAAAATAAAATAAAATAAAGTAAAATAAAATAAAAAGCTTTCTAAATAGGTACCTATAACAGAAAAATTTTATAACGATTTTGATTTTTTAATTTTATTTATTTATTTTAATCCTCACCTGAGGATATTTTTCCATTGATTTTTAAATAGAGTGAAAGAGATGGAGGGAGAAAGAGAAACATCAACATGAGAGAGACACATCGACTGGCTGCCTCCCGCAGGACCCCAACCAGGGCCAGGGGTCAAACCTGCAATCAAGATACATGCCCTTGACTGGGAATCGAACCCAGGACCCGTGGGTGCACAGGCCAACGTTCTAACTGCTGAGCCATACTGGCCATGGCTATAATGATTTTCAAATGCTTATTCAAAGTTAAGAGCAGAAAGTTTAGATTTCAATTTGAATTATAAAACCTAACACTGTATGCCCAATTTTGGAAATATCAAATTTATATTTTCTTAATAAAATGTTATTTGCCCTTTTCTGTGTTGAGATTTGCACTGATGGAGCAAAAGCAATAGTAGATAAAATGCTGGCACCTTATCATGAATACAAGTTAGTGGCACCAGATGGTACTGGTAATGGTAATACTTATATCCTTCAGCACTGTAAAACTAGCATTGGGGAAGAGGGGCCAGTTTCATTTAAGAATATCCTTCACAAAGCAGTATAAGTTAATTTTATTAAATCTTGGCTCTTGAATACATCTTTTAAATATTCTATGTGATGAAAAATAACAAAAAATTTCTGCTATATAAAAAAGTATGAACAAGACTAGTGTAACTGTGCTGTGAACTGACTGGACAATTATTTCATAAAAAAGTGTTTTCACTTGAAAGAACCACTGACAGCCCTGGCTGGTTTGGCTCAGCGGTTAGAGCGTTGGCCCTCGGATCAAAGAGTCTTGGGGTCATGCGGGAGGCAGCCGATCAAGGTTTCTCTCTCTCTCTCTGTCCCTCTTCCACTCTGTCTGAAAATAAAAATGGAAAAATATCCCCGGGTCAGGATTTTAAAAAAAAAAAAAAAAAAGAACGAACGAACCACTGACAGACAAACTGGTTATTCAGACATGGTAATATGGCAGACATTTTCTTGAAAATAAACAAAGTGAGCCTGTCATGTCACCTAGAGAAAAACTACAGACATATTTTTTTTACCAGTGATAAAATCTGAGCTTTCAATTGAAAATTACAATTCAGAAAAACTTCTACCACCATGAGCTGGGCATCTTGCCACTATTTCTCTGATTGGTAATGATATTAAACAAATGTGACTTCTAGATGTCAACATAACTTTAGTAAACATTATTTTCTAAATATTACAAAATCTCATAGGGCAAAACAGCCATTCAAATCGCAAGATAAACCAATGGAATTAAATGTAACAGGTTATGAAAAGTTCATCAATATAGTTTCAGATTCCACACTGTGGATCTTTAAGGAACCTGTCAAGTTTTGATGTGGTATCAAAGATGAGTATCTTATCTGAAAAGGCTATTAAAATACATCTGCATTTTACAATTACTTATAAAACATACTAAATGCAGAAACGGGTGTGAGAATCCAATTGTCTATTAATCCAGAATGGAAAGGGATTTGCAAAAGTATTTTTTAAATGCCAATCTTCTCACTAAATTTTATTTATTTTTTTTATCCTCACCCAAGGACATTTTTCCATATTTTGTTCAGATAGAATGTGAGGGACAGAGAGAGCGCGAAACATCGACGTGAAAGGGACACATCGAGAGGCTGCCACCCGCATGACCCAACCAGGGCCGGGGACAAACTGCAACTGAGGTATGTGCCATTAGCGGGAACCGAACCCGGGTCTCTCTGGACTGCAAGCTGATGCTCTAACTGCTGAGCCAAGATGGCCAGGGCTAAATTTTACTTTTTTAATGGATTAGAAAAGTTTTAAAATATATATTTTTATTGATTTTTTTGAGAGAGAGAAGAAAGGGGAGAGAAATAGGAACATCAATGTGAGAGAGAGAGATACTGATCAGCTAGCTGCCTCCTGCATGCTCTCTACTTTTTCTTTTTTTTTTTTTATCCTCACCCGAGGATATTTTTCCATTTTTTGTTCAGATAGAGTGGGAGGGAGAGAGAGGAAGGGAGAGAGAGAGAAACATCGACGTGAAGGGACACATCGAGTGACTGCCACCCGCACGACCAACCAGGGCCGGGGACAAACTGCAACCAAAGTACGTGCCCCTAGCGGGAACCGAACCCGGGTCTCTCCGGACCGCAGGCCGACGCTCTAACCGCTGAGCCAAACTGGCCAGGGCTCCTGCATGCTCTCTACAGGGGTTGAGCCCAAAATCCATGCATGTGCCCTGACCGGGAATCGAATGAGGACCTCTCAGTCCATGGCATGGGAAGATGTTCAATCTGCGTCAGGTGGATTAAAAATATTTTTTAAATTGTTTTAATTATTGTCCAGCCGGTGTGGCTCAGTGGTTGAGTGTCAACCCATGTACCAAGAGGTCGCCGGTTCAATTCCCGTCAGAACACATGCCCAGGCTGTGGGCCCAGTCCCCAGTGAGGGGCATGCAGGAGGCGGCCAATCGATGTTCTCTCTCATCCATGTTTCTATGTCTCTCTCCCTCTCACTTCTCTCTGTAAAATCAATAAAGGAAAAAACATTTTGTTTTAATTATTATCATCAATTAATATAACCACAATCACAAAAGCTTTCTGGGGTCCTAAGCATTTTTAAGACTGTACAGTGTTCTTAAAAGCAAAAAAATTAATAAATGCCAATTATGGCAATATTTCATAGATGGTGTTGTGCACTTCCTACTACTCATCACATTGGGAAGAACATAATGCCTGTTTGTTCCACTTTAGTGTTAAGACTAACCAATGGGTTCAGGTGCTTGATTAATTCAGTTAAGTTCCTTTCAACTTTACCTAACAACTTTAGCAACTGTTTATGATTGTTGCTTAGGGTCTATTATCTCATCAAGGTGGAAAAACTGTGACTTTCATCATTCCTCCTGCATTTATTCATCATGACTTTTCAATATAGAGGAATTTCCTTTTCAACAATTTGGTTACCTTAAAATATGGTTCATATAGGGTAGGGAAGATAAATACTCAATCCATGCCTCCCCTCCTAATTTATGAATTTCAGTATAATGAGTAAGTTTTGCAGCAACCTCTAATGGCGAACAATAAATTTTTTTTCCTTTGATGAGTTTCAACTCATTATAACCACTGTTCTTTTTGTAAGAAAACTGTCTAATCTTTTCAAGTTTGTACTTTAGACATGACTCCAGTCATCTTTGATTGCTTCCTTCCTTTTAGGAAGAACATGTTACTCTACACTGACTATATACTACACCGCCATCAGTAAAGTCTCATATCGCATTTTAAAAACATCCGTTTCATGCATAGACCCAGATTATCTTGAAATAAAATATTTAGTGAAATAAAATATTTTATTTTGATAGAGATCAGTCTTATTTTCCATTTCTCTGACGGAACACAAATTACTCTTTTCCACACCATTATTTATCTTACCAGTACAAACGAGCTTGTTAATTCTTCCCTTTTTCCACTTGAGCAAATCTCCACCTTTACCACATCCCAGGTCCAAAACAGTAATGTCATGCTTTTTTTTCTGTCGCAACTTTTCTAAAAATTCCCCTAAAACAGAGAAATAAGTCATAATAAAAGATCTTCATTTTCACCAGAGCATAAACTGTTGCCTCTAATAACCTATTAACTTCTGCCTGACATGTAATACAAATTATATTTTCATTTATGTAATTTATAACTTTTGATAAACATTTCAAAATATGACTAAGAGTTAATTAACTTTATCCTCTAGCATTAAAGATGAAAAGTCTGGTATTTCAGAAAGTTAAGACAGGTTTTTGAAGGTTACTTTCAGAATCTGATTCAACATTCAACAGCAGACACTTTAATACAAAAAGACTCAACAATTGTTCATGATAAGAGAAAAACTTTTCATAATTTTTTATATTTTTCTCTTTCCAAATCTAAGTGTTTAGCTTATTATACACCTAAATTAATAAAAATAATTTTGGAATAAGAGTGTTTGATTGTCATAAAAGATGTCAGGCTAACCACCAAGAAACATACAAGAACTAGTCAGAAAACTATATTTACCCTTAATTTTACTATTATCAGAATTCTTAAACACTCTGAAGTAAAAAAATGAAAACTTTCATTTCAATCTACCAAATCACATTAAAAGCCAACAAGTAATATCAGTAGGTCCCCATATATCAATATCCAAATGCTTCAAATACCAGTGACAGGCATCTTAATATTCTTAGATGACTAAAGTATTTAACAATTCTAAAATTTCATACATTACTGCATCCTAGAACAACTCCTTCTGACTTTACCACTCTGAGCTTAAAACTTTCTATTTCATGTGTATTATTTTAATTGATAACATATTCTGTATAAATGCTTCTGCCTTTCACTGTTCACAGGATCTTAATGTAATGTCAGCAGAAATGCAAGTGTTTCATATTTAACTTTCTGCTATGAATCTTAACCAATAGCATAAAAATACTAAAAAAGTAAAAAAAATTATAAAATCTCTTTATTTCCATATACTAAGACTAATGAGAGAAATCATCATGAAACATTACCCAAAGATATCTTCATCACATTCAAGAATAGTACTCAACTATTTACTAAGCTATCAGCATCAACAAGAAAGAGAAAATAAATGACAAAGAACGGATGTTATGAAGAGAAAGGAAAAAGCCACAGGGAGCTTGGCATAGACCACAAGACTGCATTAGAATCAGAAAGGCAAGGTGCAGATGGCAAAGCACCCATTGAGAGAGTTGCTGGAACAGCTGAAGAAGGAAAATACCATGAATATGCTGAGATAAATTTTTGCTAAGTCTGATAAGTCTTTTAATGAATAAATACATGAACAAATGACACATCATTAAAAAATACCCAAGGATAAGTCATCTGCATCATTGGATCTGCAGAAGGAAAGCAAGAGAAAATAAATTAGGACTAAGGTCCAAAGATTACCTTAAAAGTATAACCTACAAATGACATATTAATCTTAATGAGAGAGAAACAGAGAGAGACAGAGAAAGAAAGAAACTGACACTCAATTACCCTAGCTGACAACTGGCAGAGTCAAATAAATCATATTTTTATAATAAAACATGATTAAAAACAAAAATGACATAAAAAATATCAAAATGTGTTTGATAAAATAAGCCGTTTCCATTCTTAATACTTCTCACAATGTCTAATTTATCTTTAAAAGTTAGTAAATTATCATCAAACTTAGTAGAAAGTACCCATAATTAGCACTTTCTTTCCAGTGTAATGAAGAAAGCATTTTCACTTTTCCTAAGACTGGCTTTAAAAAACCAAAAACAAAAATCTTACTGTGAAAAACTTCAAAATACACTGGCTTTTTAAAATCCTAAACTTATGTGATAGTTTATCTGATGTACTAGATATACAAAGCAATAAATACATCTTGAATCATATTCTTTCACTGACTTCCATTTTAATTTCAAAGTTAAGTTTCCATAGATAAAAAGCTGAATCCAAAAAGATGAATGTCTTCATTAATCCTCAATATAAACTTTATTTTCTCCTCAAACACCATACAGGAAAAATAAGTTAGATGGACTTTACCAACTCACTAAAGGCCTTGAAATAAAAAAATTATGATACTGACAATTTCCTTGACTTAATGGAACCTTAATGTTTAATCGAACATGTCATTGCTCCAAAACTATTAGAGTGAAATAGAATAATTACTGAATAGCATAATCTCTAAGTATAAAAGGAGCACACTACCTTTTGAAAGCCTGGTTAAGTTTTCAACTTAATATCCATTAAACAATCATTAATATCTTATGTAGTCAATAAAAAGAATTTATCTCAAAGGCCTACTTTTAGCTTTCGATTCAGTTTTATAAAGCCAAGATTTGATAATTAAATGAACAAGAATTAGATCTAGCAACTTGCTGTATGGTTAACCATTTAGGGGGGAAAATGAGGCATAAGATGAAATTAAAATTTTCAAACTATAAATCAAAAAATAATCATACCAATGAGGACACTTTTCATCCAATTATTAAAGTTTCTTAGGTAAAAAATACGACTTTGGCTACGCTTCTCCAAACCAACTTCCTGAAGTTCATTGTAGTGGGCAGCCACTGTTGAGCTGTGTCTTTCTTCTAAGTTCTAAAAATAAGAGAGAATGGAACAAAATTAAGGATTAGAACATGGCAAAAATAAATTTAAAAGAGTATCTGACATATATAACGATAAAATGCTACTGAAATTGGTAAATTTCATTAAACAATGACATTAACCATAGAAATTCCACTAATTGTAATCAGACATAAGACTTGTTTCCCTCTGTGCTCTATTTTTAAAAACATCTCTAGATTAAAAATTTTCATCTTGATCTTTCATCTGTATAATTTTGGTATTAATGCTTTTAATAAAACAACTACTCTTCCAGAGTTCTGACTTATTCAAGCCAATAAATGCCTGTCAATGGATGGGGTTCCTACAAAAAAATAAAATAGGAATAAATTATATTATATAATTATAAAATAGTTGTGAGCATTACAATGAGATCATACACAAAAAGGTATCAGAACTCAATAGCCTATGTTCAGTGTAAGTGATTCCTACTATTATTTGTTTTTCATCTAATTTAACATTTCAATTTGTTCTCCCTATTTAAGGCCCTAAGCAAAAAAAAAACCCATGGTAGGTAAAAGAGCTTCAAGATCCCCACATTTCCCTAGTTCATTTTTACCTATTTTACATTATCAGGTTCAAGTTTAAGATTTTTACTTGAGAAAAATTTTTTTCTACTGCTAGTAAAAGTTTGAAAACTAAGTTTATAATACAAACTCCTCTCTGTTACAAGGCTTCACACTCCACTAACAACAAATGCTTAGCCTATCTGCCCCTTTCCTCTTCACAGCTGATGGCAGAATTTTACTCATTCATTGAAGCTCTCTCTTCCTCCAAATCCAGATTTTGTCTAAGAGTCCTTCACAATAAGGTATTCCCAGACGAAAATGAGTTGCGATTCCTTGCTCTACAGTTTCCCTGCTATTTAAATAACAGGCTTCTGCATCCATTTAGCTAAAATTGTATGTAACTACCCAAACAAGAAGTTGAAATTATATAAAGAAATTACATTAAGAAAGGAATGTAAAGCTGGGTATGATTTCAAATTTATCATTTTAAGTAATACTATTTCAGATACAAAAAGAGATGAACACCTAACAAAAATTAACAAAGGTAAATCACCTGGACTTCATACTCTTGTCTTTTTTAAATGCTAAGAAAAAGCAAACTATAAAAACTAGCTTTCAAGTTTCTAGTCAAAGAAGAGTTCCGATATCCTAAAAATTATCTCATTAGCAGAAGTTTCACCTAAGTAAAAACAATGAAAATACAAGAGTTAAAAGCTTACTCTATCTTAACACAATAAAAAAAAATTCTAAAGTTATTAAGATTATGTAAAAAACAGTTATTATTTCACAGCTGCTCCACATTTCAATTTGACATATTCCATTATGAATAAAAGAAAATACATTCAACATACTCTTTGCTTTTCAGAAACATCCTCAAGTTCTATTTTTCTCTTTTTCTGAATGCCATCTGCAGGAGAAGGTTCATCTTTTGAAAAATCATCAGTTTCCATTCTTCTTTTCCTTGAAATGCCTTCATTGTTACCAGAATCTTTTTCCTCTGGGACAATTTCAGCATGAACTTTTCTTTTCCTAGATGGAGTATCTTCCCCACAATTGGAACTCTCCTTTACAAGGTCATCTGCAAACTCCATTTTTCTCTTTTTTGGGGTGTCTAGCTGCCCACAGGTAGGAGTTTGTTCTAAAAGGGCAGTCCCAGGAGTGGTTGTGTTTTCATTAGTATTGAATGAAGACTCTGTTTCCGAATTTATTGATACTTTTGTTTCTTGAAGAGAGATCTTTTCACATTCCTCTGCTTTTGCAGAATTTTCCATTTTTGATTACTTAGATAGTAAAACTTCAAGAACTAACACTGAAATGGCAAAAATCTGATATTACTTATAAACACATTAAAACAATTTTAACCAGATGCTAACCACTTAGTTTTAGTGATCAACTACAAGTTCTAAAAAAAATCTTATGAAAACAATGTTAATTAGCATATATTAATATGAATTTCTGAATATACTAATGTGGGAGTACTAATTATAATCCCCAAACACTTCTAACAATCTTATCCATAAAAGTCACTATTTGCATTAAAATTGACAAATGAAGTAGGGGGGCATACAAGTTCCTTTTCCATCGTGACCCTTCCTCTATAGCCTTGGTTCCCAAATTGTATGCTGGGCACACAAACTCATACAGATAGAATTGAATATTTTAAAATTTTAAGGGAAGCACAGTGATATCTGATTATCTAGAAGATATTACAGATACAAGTTCAAGTAGAGCACAATTTAAGCTAAGTAGATTGCACTACATCCCTTTCAATGACATCATAACTTTGGGAAGCTGAGATTTTTGTGGTACCAAAGAAAATCAGTTAAACAGGAAATGAAGGCGGTGATGGCAAATCTTGTTTCAAGGCTTGAGAAGTTGTATGGTACCCAACAGGTGCACAGATTCCATTAGTAAGAACTCTTGGTTAACTAAAAATTAAACACAAATATCATTTTTTTGTTCAGTTTATGTATTATTAGTTTTTAAATAAAGTTGCTAGGAAATAAATACTTAAATTCTTTGGCCTAAACCACTTATGAGTGGTATTGTTAGGTATTTCTTTTGGCCTGGAGACACTGGAAAAAAACAAACAAGCAACAAGAACAACAACAACAAAAAAAAACAGAGACACTAAGGGCACCAAGAACAAGAAAAGTCTGGGAGCTTACAGTTAACTTCTGAAACCCCTATTTCACAATAGTGTCAGAATTAGGAAGAAAGTGATGAGTGTGGCTTTGGACAAGAAGTTTCAAGACACCGCCTGCAACTGAATAACCATTAAGTCTCTTTCAAATGTTCTTAGGCCTAATGGGATCCGGAGGGAAGTAAGTGAACTACCTACTGGACAGGAATTATTATTAGGGTGATCCATTTATTGTCACTTAACAAATTTACTCAACTCCTAGTACAGAGAAGCACAATGAAGCACTGTGTGAATTAGTGATCAAGAAGCTTACAGCTTATATGCACACCATTATTAAAATGTTATACTGTACTATTCAAAACAAATGGAGAAGGGAGAGCATAAGTCCAAAAATTGGTGAGATACAGTAAATTCAAAACCTGAAAGTTATAAAGGGAAGGGGGGGGAGTCTTTTGAGTAAAGAAATTCCTGAATATGCTAATGTGGGAGTAAGAAATAAAGTGGCTTAAGGGAATGAGTAAAACAAGTCACTGTGAACTGGGAAAGGTTTCAAGGGATAGGAACTGCCCAAGGTTTGAGGTAACAAAACACTAATACAGTCCAAAATAGGAGGAGCTAAATCAAGGGTGGAGGTAAAAAAAATAAAAAAATCACCCCAAAAAGCAATTTTCAGAATGACTACTTAAAATGATTATCTAGTAAAACTGGCCTCCAAATGATCAAATCCCTATCTTCTCCTGCCATTTATTTCCTAATAAAGAACAGAAATAGGCTTTAAATTTAAATAAACCAATGTGATGTATTATCTTTAGCTGTAATCAACACCTGAAATTTGTATTGGGAATAGGTGTGAATTTTATTTATATACGCTACTCTATTTCCACAGATAAGATGTCATAAAAACAATCAATTCGGCCAGAATAAATGACAAAGAATTCCTAATGACGGCAGAAATGGGTGAGAATGTTTGAAACCCAACGCCAAAGTGTAATAATGAATAAACTCCAAGCGCTAGAATTGTTGCCCTTCAGAATCCTGGAGGAAGGAGCTTATGGAAAAGAGTCAACTGACATCGAGTTGGCTACGCAGTAAGATGACCAAATAGACATTTCGACCTGGGTTTCCTTACACCTCTAAGGCAAGCTGTCCCAGTCACTTCAGTTCCTCAGAGAACCGAGCACTGCGCTAGGACCGCCGGGCTTACGCTCCATCAGGATAAGCTCTCCATCCCGACCCGCCAGCCAGGCTGGGTAAACTCGAAGGCCCAAGACGACGCGACAAGGCACGAAGGGAATTTTGCAGCCAAGTTCACCTTCTTCCGTCACTGACGCGGCCTAGGTCGTAACCAAACCTCCAGCTCAAGTTTCTGATTCGCCGCTCAAGACATACAAACGCAGCTTCACATCGGACACTCCCTCCCTAGCCCGCCCTCTCAGTGCAGCCTTGAAGTGCGGCCTAATGCAGCTCCACCGGCTTCTCCGCACCCAGTCTCGCTAGGTCTGAAGGAGCAGCAGCGTCCGCCGACTCCCACAAGTACTGCCCAATTTGCTCCACGCTGAGGGCACAATATACCCCTCGCGAAGGATACTGAAGGCACAAGGCAACAACAAAGCGAGCTCCTATCAGAAGAGTGCCCCTCCACCTCGATGGCGGCGGAGGACCCAAAAACAAAGAAAGGAAGGGCCGAAGTTCTAGCCGCCACACTCACCCATACAGCCTCCTACGGTTCTATTTGCCCAAGCGGCGAGCCGCGCCGCTCTAGTGTAGTTACGCCACTTCGGAAGGGCGCTGGTCACGTGACGTCGCTCTCGGCGGAGAGTGGAGCGTCGCGCGACCTTCGCGCCGAAACTACGAGTCCCGTCGTGCTGTGCGCAGCGGCGTGCTCAGGGACGCACCCAGCGGGCTTCGGCAGTCGCGAGCACGTTGCTAGTGGGCGCGGCTGCTGGGGCTAAGGGCTAGGAGGTGAGTGTCCACCTCAGCCCCGCGGGTTCCGGCACTCAGACCCGCGCTCGGCCAGGTCGCTCTGTAGAGTGACATCGCCGTGGCTTCTGAGGTCCTGTCGTCCGGCCTGTGCGGCGGGAAGCGGCGGTGGCCTCAACGTCCTAAGAGGTATCTTGGGCCCAGACCTTTAAGGGCAGCGGGAGGGGTGGAGAGGGCACCTTCAACCCCGTGCGCGTTGGGGAGCAGATCCCGAACGCGAATCTGACAACTGCCCGGCGTGCACAGTTCCTCGGGCTGTGGCAGAGATCTGCCTGCAGGGCTGGGGTCATCCACACTTAGCCGCCCCACCACCCCCGGCGGCCGAAAGAGGTCACCCCCGCCCTTCTCTGTCGTGCCTGTGCCCTGGCAAATCTGCCTTGGGGACTGTTTTTTGTATGTTTTTTTTTTAGCTTTCTGCTCTGTAACCCTTCACACTCTACTGTTCCCTTCCTCAGAAACGTGCTGAGGAAGGGTATGGGTGCCCCATTGTCGAAGTTGTCTAAGAATGAGCAATATCTTACTTTTCCGTACGGACTTGGCAGATCATTCCCTACCGCCTTACTTGCGAAGCGGTGCTGTATCTCCCTCTAGGGAGGCCTTTCTCGACTGTCAAGATTCTGGACAACGGGGAAGCCCAAACCTATCCTTAGAAAAGCCTCATAGTGTAATAGTCTGTGTTGTCTGGACTTTGATATGGGATGGTTGAAGGAGACAACAGATCCTTTGTCCATCCTCAGCTTTCCATTGGAGAGTCGGTGGCACCTACTGTACTGAAACTGGAAAGCTCAATAGTTGAGGGCTTTCAGTTTGAGATTGGGGTCAAAACCGAACCTGGGAACTAAAATAATTGACGTGTGTACATATCAACTTTATTGTGCCTCAACACCTCCCCCACCTTAAAGGTGTAAAAACATGATCACATTTGCAGTCTTGAATTATCCTTTACCAAAATGGATCCCTTTAAAACTAGCTTTGAAATGTGTTTTACTAGCCTGCCTACTTGTCAGTAAGGGCAGTTATATTAATGAATAGGCTTTGCTTCGGGGAAGACAACATTCGCAGCATGTACTTTCTTTACAGTCTAGTCACTTCTAAATTGTGGGCACTAACCTTCTGAGGTTGTTGACCCCTTATAAACTTTGGACCAAAAATGAATGGGGCCTATTTTTAACAAATATGGATGCCAAATATGGAAACCAGCAAATATGGACTATGTTTGTATCTATATTCAGTGACCTGGGTTGAGAATCAACTTTATTATATTGACAACGGCAAACAAATGGGTCTTAGAGACTGAACATACTATTTACACATCCAGGCATTAGAAATAGGCAATTACACAGTCCATATTGGCTGGTTCTGATTCTAAAGATTCTTGAGATAGTTGCGGTTGTAATTTTAGGAAAAATTAATCAAAGTTTGGTTTTGTTAAAATTTTCTCATTAGATTAAAAGTTTCTTCCTATGTGTTTATACAGATTCCACCGTGGATTGATGTTGTGTGTGGGATATATAAAGCTCACATTTTGTAGTTTTCTTAATGCTTAACTGGAAGTCATGTAATTCAGTTGAGGATAGAACCCTTGAAAACAATAATGGAGGGAGTAAATGTTCCAGATAAAAATGTTTTGAAAGTTACTGTTGGTGTTATTTTTCCCATTATTACATGTGTAATATCTGTTTTTCTGGAAATTGAATTAAAATTAAAATAGCTAATATTTTAGTACCTGCTGTGTGCCAGATTAAGTGCTTTACACATCTGAACTCACTTAATTCTTACGTAATCCAGTGGGATAGTTGTTATGATTATTTTTGAATTATAGATGAAGATTAAATAACTGGGCCAAGGTTGTGCATCTGGAAATTAGTGGAACTAGGATTTGGACCCAGGCGGTCAGGCTCCACAGACCAGACTCTATGCTAATAATGGAACAGTGCCTGCCAGAAAATCAAACTCAGAACTAAAAGTTAGCTGACACATAGTAGATTTTCAGAAAATATTTTTATAATTCTTAATGCATGATGCTTAATGTTTAATGTTCAGATTAAAATAAAATAGATAAGACCCACCGAGACAGGATCATCATTTTATTCAGGGATTTTACATGGGTACCTTTAACATATAGTGGTGCTAATTGAATGAATGAATTGCCAAGAAAGGTTTTTAAAAATCAATTTTAAAAAATAGGACAGATGAATTATCTCAACGAATTTATAAGATTTCTTTATCTGCTGTTTTGATTATTTGGCCCATTATTCACCCACTCACACCACCTGGTTTGGATTTCTTCTGGTTTGAATTACACTTTGTCAGTAAGAGAAAATGAAGTAGCAACTTGTAAATTTTCTGGTCAGAGTAAAGGCAAGCAACAAGTTCAGTAGATACCATCCTTTTTTCTTTAATTTTTTTTCTTTATTGATTTTAGAGAGAGAGGAAGGGACAGGGGAGAGAGAGAGAGAAACATCAATGAGAGAGAACATCTGTTGGCCAGCTCCTGCACGCCCCACAATGGGCATTTAGCCCACAACCTGGGAATGTGCCCTGACCGGCAAGCAAACCTGCAACCTCTTTGTGCAAGGGTAGACGCTCAGCCACTGAGCTACACTAGCCCGACCCATCCTTTTTTTAAGTCACTAGTTCTCAAAATGAGAACACCCTGACTTACAGTTTTAAAGTGTGATTTCTGGTATAGAATTGAAGATCACGTTTTTGAAACATAAACACTGTTTTTAAAATGTAGATACAATGTTATAGCTTCCTAAAAATGATGTACTTGGAGGTAAGAAAGAGAGGTGGTTTATGGAAGGTCTATTTCTCCAAAAAGTCTTTGAGGAAGGACTGTTCTCCAGTCCACTCACAAAGCACCCCTACTAAAATTTTACTGCCTTTTTGGAGCACATAAGATATTCTTATTTAAAAGGTATTTTCTATAGTGGAAAGTAAGATTTGGTTGAGAAATCTCTAAGTTTATTATGTGTAGAGATTTGTTTTATATATTAAGTAGGCTGTAGTGTAGTACCTACTTATTTTATCAAACACTAATCTAAGTGTTACTGTCTTGGTATTTTGAAGATGTGATTAACATCTAAAGTCTATTGACTTTAAGTAAAGGAGATTACCCTCAGTAATGTGGCTGTTCCTTACCAAATCAGTTGAAGGCCTAAATTTCAAATTGAAGTGTCTCAAGCAGAAAAAATTCTTCCTTAAAACTGCAGCATCCATTTCTGCCTATTTCCAGCCTACAGATCTGCCCTACACATTTTCAGAGTTGCTAGCCCCACAAGCGTGTGAGCCAGTTCCTTAAAATAAATGTATATCTATCTATTTGATTAAAAACCCAATAGATTTCTAATAGATATAAATATGTATTTATCTAAAGAGAGATAGGTAGATATATGCATATATTTTGCTCCTATTGGTTTTTTATCTCTGGAGACCCCTATCTGAGTCACATTTTGGTACCAAGAGCGGTTCTAGAGCAGCAGTTCTCAACCTGTGGGTCACGACCCCTTTGGGGGTCGAATGACCCTTTCACGGGTCACCTAAGATATAACAGTAGCAAAATTACAGTTATGAAATAGCAACAAAAATAATTTTATGGTTGGGGGTCACCACAGCATGAGGAACTGTATTAAAGGGTTGCAGCATTAGGAAGGTTGAGAACCACAGTTAGAGGAACAGAATCTTAAGAATGAGTTATTGTCCTAGCCCATGTGGCTTAGTTGGTTTAGTGCTGTATCCCATGCACCAAAAGGTCACTGGTTTGATTCCAGGTTAGGGCACATGCCCAGGTTGTGGGTTCAATTTCTAATCAGTATGCGTATGAGAGGCACTGATTGAGTTTCTTTCTCACATCAATGTCGTCCCCCCCCTCCTTCCTCTCCCCCTCCCCCTCCCCCGTTTCCCCTCTCCCCCCTCCCTCCCTCCCTCTATCCCTCTTCCCTCACCCTTCCTCCCTTCCTCTCTCACTCAACTCAATAAAAACATTTTAAAAAAATGAGTTATCTATGCAGTTCAATTCCCAGTCAGGGCACGTACAAGAGTCAACCAAGGAATGCATAAATAAGTGGAACAAGAAATCCATTTTTTCTCTCTCTCTGTCTCTCCCTTCCTCTCTCTAAAATCAATTTTAAAACTTGTTTTTTAAGATGATTTCTCTGAATTGATTATGGTGTTTGTGCAGTCAGTTCTCGAATCTGATCAGATTGAAAGGCACAAATAACTACTTCCAGTGGTATAAAGGACACTGATAATCTAGGGTGTAATATGGCAATAGAGATACACAAAATATCACCATCGGATACTCCTATTTAAATATTTACAAAAGACAGAGTTTTGGATGACCGTGTATTTGATGAGTTAAAACATTTTTGTCAAATTAACAAGTCTAATGAGACTGACTGGTTGCTCCTAATTGCAGAAAAAGTGGAGAAAGAAAAGGACAAGCTCACATCTCCAAACTCCCAGCTCAAGCTCTGCATAATTGACGTGAACGTTTCTGTGTCTTCTCTAAAGAAACTCTTTTCTCCTATAACTACAGAGCTGAGATTGCTGAAAATTAAACCCAAAGTCTCATCCTGAAAAATGGCTGAATTATAATGCAAATGAATTCCCAATCTAATAGGGTGTCTGCTATTAAAATGAGGGCATTGATTGGGAAGGCATGAGATCCTCAAATTTGGAATAGAGTGCTGAGCCCCTAAATTTTTCTCAGTCTTTTTTGCCACCTGCTTGAGGAAGTTAACCTCGTTTGAGTGAAGAATCTATAATGGCCTTTCCTGAGGTAATTGCCTTGCAAAATATTGCCGATTCTCCTCAAGAACTACCTCAGCACGCTCCCAAGGGTCAGCTACAGAGTGTGACCCATGAAGAAGTGGGCTGTACTCTTAAAAAACTGATTTAAAAAAAAAAATATTCCACAGATAGATATCTGGGGAATATGTATGAAGATGGATATCAAAAGTGTGGCATAATTGTGGAAGAAACATAAGGTCAGATCAGGCCGAATTTATTGATACAGGACTGCTAAGAGATTCTGGATTCACTGTTAACAGCTTGAGGTGTTAGAGAGGGCTCTAACAGTTTGGTTGTTTGGCTGAAACATGGACCAAAGGCTATGCTCAATGAAG